CATTTTAATTAAACGAATTTTAACAATTTTTGAAAAAAATAAATTTTCAAAAAATTACATTTTAATCGGCCATTTTGAATCGGCCATTTTTAAATAAAATCACGATTTCTTAAAAAATAGTCACAAAATTCATCTTTAAGATGAGCCCAGAAAGAAGTCTAGATCTCTTTATTTTTTTGGAAGATATGAATTTTTAAACATTGGGGAAAAGAGGCTTCAACGCAGGTAACACGGCAATTTTAAGATAGGAAAAGCACATAAGCAGCGAAATATGCAATGTAATCATAACAGCAAACGTGCATGAAAGAGAAAGAGAGCGTTTCCGAAGAAGCGTATTCCTCTGTCAGATTTTTTGTAACGAATGGTCAATGTATCTTTTCAGTGGAGCATCTTTTTTAGGGTAGTTAGCACTTTTTGCAATAAGTAGAGGCACGGAAATGTGGAAGAAAGGTATCCTATCCCGTAAGATTTATTAATGAAATAAGTTTCGTCGAGGGATAGAGAATAACTCCGCCTTAACGAGATCATTTCATTTTCTTTCCAGACACGTCAGGTGTTTTTGGGTCTCTGCCTGCCGGGTACATGCGATCGCGCATCCCTGACCTCGATGCTAAGGGCCAGCGCTGATAGAGTCGAACGCGAAGGCAATTCGACCTATCGATCGAGCGGCCCGAAAATTCACGTTGTTACGGTGAAGCCCGTGCCATCCAGCAATTACTGCGCCTGGCAAGATCCCAAATTTTACGTCCTCTCGTGAGTAATCCTAAAAATCCTCTTACAACCGAACCGTAAATTGCTCGGAAAGCGTTGGTTCACCGGCCCGTAGTGGGTTCGTGATATGACTTTTCGCATCGCATGATAATTCAATAACGTTGGAAAATGGAAAGATACAATCGCGATGTAATTGTTAATTCCAGTTCGTGAATATTGATTGTTGCGATTATTGTATGTGTACATACAAACGTAACTATTTGTTAATTACTTTTAAACACGATCGTTTTTAAATACGACGTATTTGTATTACACAGTGCTCTTTCACAACGCTCTAGATAATACTTTTTTAATAGAAAAATATTATTCATGCGATTTAAAGTGAGCAAAGCACTTGAGCTATCTAACGGCGTAACTTGGAAAATTTCATTCTGGGACACAGTGCTCCGATAGAACTTATGAAACTTGCTTGCCGTACTTTCAGTAAACGCAGGTACCGCCTCCCCTTATTCGTATCCCTGAATACCAAAGTTGATATTCCTACGATATCGAAAAAGGATCGAAACATGGTGCTCAGGAAAAATCTTGTATTCTCTGAGCAGATCGAATATTTGTTTTCAATTCGAATGTAACTTCACTTTAACTGCGTTTGTATACGCGTTATTCGAAAGAACAAATTTCGCCGATATTGAACTATATAATAAATATAAAATATTTTTTAATTAACAGCCCATTTTATGTAATTAAAAAGAAAATAATTTGTTCAATTAAATTAATTAAAAGCTACGGTATCTCGAATCCAAAATACATCATTCACTTCAAAATATTCAAGATTGAAATGTGTTTTAAAAACATTATTTTGTCCGACACAACATTGTATACCTATTTCCATTTTATCGGCTATTGCGCGAGATAAAATTTGTGAGAGATAGATTGTAATATAAAATATGGATATTTCAATGACCACTCCAATCGATATTATTTCACTTTAACTCGCAATTTTCCGAACGAAATGTATATAATAATTTATGTTTACGTTTCATTTCAATAAACAAACACGGAGAAACTTGCATTTATGTAAGAAGAGCATTATTTTTTAACTTTAATATTCGCGATATGGTCAGGCACGGTCGACAGAAATTTTGCAACTACGTATTACATAACGCGACGCGACAAAAGATTTTATTTTGGGTAACGAATTAATAAACGACGTAGACAAGATAAAAGTACGTCGTAATTAGACGCGTGCCACCATGGCAAGCTTAAAAAACAATTCATTATAAACTCCCTCATAATTCTCGGAGAAAATTAAGCCGGGATCATGCGGCAAAAACATATATATAATCCCTTAAAAAATGTCCCCTTAATAAATTCTAGAACGCTATATAGCGTTCAACCCTTTCGTCCTCAGCAGCAAAAATCTGGATTTATCATCTTTAATAATATATTGCGAGTAAAAAAGAAGGGACTCTTTTCATAAATTTTTCATGCATCTTTTCGTATTTTCATAAGTATATCAGGAATTTAACACTACTGATACTATGTATTTTATATTAGCGATTAATAAATGCAATTAACGGAAATTTCTTTCAATCGAATGGAGTCTCATAGGAGCGGATTAAAATGGCCAGCTGTATAAACGAGTTATACCCTTAAATTAATCTACGAGTAGAATTTAGTTTAAGCTCCAGCTGCTTAAGTGTTGGAAACTGCGTCGACTCGAAAGGACCGAGGAGTATACACTGTTCGCGTAGATTGGCAGTTAGGGCACTCAAAAAGTTCGATCCACGACAGTAATTATGTCGCTCGATATCTCTGACGTGCGGCTGAAAGCAAGAGTTCCGCAGGGTTCGCTAATTTCGACCACGAATTGCAGTCGAACTTTGGTTATATACACCCGAAGTTTCGGGGCCTCGTTAACCGGAACATTACGGAGACAGGCACGTAAGCGGATTCCCTTCGTCTTTCGAATCCTTTCGTTTTCCCGCTTTCTGGTCGAAAGTTGTACTTTGTCCGCGTTCGGCCACCACTCTGTTTTCTAATCGACTCGATGGAACGGGATCGCCGACACGCCACGCCAGATTATTTATTATCCGGTCGAGATAGCCGCACGCGAAATGCGGTTCATGCGCATCTGACGTGGCCGGTTACGTGAGCGCGTAAGCGGTGTACCCGCGAAAAGAAAGTGCGGGAAGTGTGTTGCACACGTGAACGCTTAATTGCCGCGGGCATATAAGTGGCAATCGCGCAAGCCCTCGAATGCATACAGCATTTGCCTGACCACACGCTGCATTATACATAATACGTGGCAATGAATCGATACTATAATGAGATAGTTCTCGGATGATACCTATATAGATACCAATGCCATGTATCTCTCATTGCGCGAACGATTATGTATTTACAAGCAAAAAAAGCTCAATCCGTATGAATTACGAGTACACATTTTGCACGGCTTAGAGTTGTACAGAAAACAAACAAAACAACAACTCAACGCAAACTCAATCAAGAGTCTATTATTTATGAGGGCGAACGCTTTCAATTTAACTTAGTTTATTTGTTACGTAACTTCGATATACCTTAGCTGGACGTTCTTATAGTATTTCGCAATTTGGAACGAAGCCCGAGAGAGCGAGAGAGCAAAGTTTACGTCGCCGTAGGTATGTACCGCACAAACACGACGCGCCAAAGGAACGCGCGGGACAGCAGGCTCTCGAAGAGCCTCTCCTTTCCTACCTTTCTTTTTACAAGTCAAGTTTTCTAATTTGCGCCCGCTCGAAGAAAAATTGGCGCGACCGACTCTGTTTGAAGCCAGTGCCAAACGTTGCTTAGCATTACTTTCGCGATTGCGTTTCTCTCGCGTCGCCCATCTATCGAAAGGACGGGATTACAACGTACGAGCGTCAATCGTTGCATAATGACACTCGTGCGATCTGGTGGTGTTCGGCAAACAAGGTATACGCAAACAGCCGGGGTATCATGGATGTCAAATTGAGCAAGTGTCCATTGCATGGACATTGCACAGAGTCGACGATGCAACTGCTAACGTGTCACCATCAGTCTTTTCTATCTCCCGGCCACCGTCTATCTCCCCTCGTAGACTCGTTCGTTACCGTAATGCGCGCCGGCTTTTGCGCCCGGTAAATGTTATGTAAATTGCATAACTCGCGGTCAGCTGAAAACTGAACGCGACTAATAAGACACACAGGACATACGGCGTTATCGCGATCTTACGTATCGTGTAATAAATTGCACGCGATTTCGGACATGCGATCCCCCCCTCCTCCCATCGCCTCGCGTTCCCATATTGGAGTTTTGAAGAAATGCATGTATTTCATTAATTCACCGCGATTAACTTAAACGCATCCTTTTCATATTACGCATGTAAATGAGACGTTGCGATCCAGTCGTGGCAATCATTGGCCTGTCACATTCACGTGTAATGCTATTAATGATGTTCATTCATAAATATCTGTTTTTATCCATCATTTGACATCATTTAATTTGAAATATTGCAACAGTAATAAAAATACTATAAGATATGTACGATCAATCTTGGGTTAAAAAGGAAGAAGGTAACTCAAGTGCGTATATATATAAATATAAATTGACGCGGCAGATTACGTTAAATTCTCATCAAGAAGAAATCACGTGATATAAATATCACATATTGATAAATTACATTTGAAGCGTACTATATGTTACAATCGTTAAACGTTAGACGATCGTGCAGAATTATTACGATATTACAATATTACATATACATAGTATTAATCATTGCGTAAAGAGTGGTACTGTTTAAATAGTCGTTAGCATTACGCAGCTAATTGTGAGTCACCGATTAAGTGCATGATACAGGAAAGCAGAACTTTTTCTCAACGGTATAGAACGTTAATCATCTACCGGGAAATGTATTGCATAAACCGTATGATGTATTTACAAAGCATCCGATTGAACGTCGAATTGCCGAACGCATATGTATGTATCGTGCCACCGAGGGCAGTGACAAAAAACTAGCGTGCGACGCCAGTAATTCCGGGTAGCCAATTTTCTGCATCGGCCCGTGTTGCAGTATTACATCAATCGGCCCGTGTTGCAACGTACTTCTTACTGGCATAGGAATGTCGGTCGCAGAATTCGAAGAAACTGAAAAATGCTGCACATGTTGCATGAAATTCGTGCTCGTTATTCAAGCAATAGAATTTAGATGGACAAACTTTTTGCTTAGATTCGGACAATGTGACTCAACGTCGTGTTTAACTCACATGCTTTCGTGAAAGAAATTGGGATAAAACTGGGTTACGTCTTATTTAACTTGTGCAAGTATATGATAACTGTAACGAGATCGGCATTCAACGAAAGTAACTTTGTTAGTTTTTAACACGGTCGATTGTTAAAACGACGCACGGGATCGCAAGAATGATCGTTTGTAAGACGATTGCATTGCAAGACGATTTGAAAGTTCTAACACACCGGGGCGGTCATTTGAACCCGATGGTGCCTCGATAATGCCCCAGTTGCAGCTGTACACTATTGCAGAACAACGCGACGCATTTGTGTCCTTGCGCGTAATGCATAATAACGATGAAGTTAACGAGAACGACGACGCGAGATTGTCAAGCGCGTTGTGTCGGGAAATTGCGCGGTTCAACTTCCAAGGAGAGTTACAATCTAATGGCCCGATTTAGCGGCTCACACACGGCTTGTCTTAAAATGTTATTCGACGCCGAGGGACTGGTTCTCGCAAATTTGCCCACGAAAAAAGTTTCGCATGTACGTGCCGTTTTCCAATTCGTTTCGAAACGAACGAGTGGCCCGAATGGAGCATGAATAGGAGTGCAACGAATCTCTCGAATTTGCAAACAAATCGGAGATACGCTGTTGCGTTACGAAGATACTTAGTCGCGCGTTTAAACGACGACAAACGTCGGCTTGCATTTATTATTGAACGGTAAAATATCTACGAGGCAATTTTCGCCGAGGAGAGGCAAAATGAAAAATTTCACGTGGCTTTCCTAAGTGCGGCTTGAAACAACGCGAATAAATCAAAGGTGATAAACAAGGCGCCTCGCAGCGACGCGACACGCGCGTTAAGTTATTACGGCTTTAAATTACCACTGAATCGATAGTTGCTTCACCTCACGATGGCTTCTCTAATCCGTCGGAGCGTAAGTCGTAAAATTGCGTTAAATAATTACAGCATTAATTTAAAGTTAACCAAGGACAAAAAATGTTCTTTAAAGTAGTATAACCATTTTTCGCGTTACAGATTATCATTTATACTAACGAGCTACACTAAACAACAATTTCTCCTCACAATTAAAATATATAACCATTGTTAAATGTATAAAACGTTGAAATATAAAACTCATCGAAACAAGAAAATTTAATGCGAAAATAAAAATTAAAAGCAATATTAAAATATACATATAAAAACTTTAGTAATACTTCAATGATAAAATATCGAAGCGAAACACAATATAATGAAAATATAAGTGATTAAATATGCGATTTACGGTATACAACGGAAAAGTCAGAATAACATATTGCGACCTGAATCTCAAGGTAGCTGGAAACTCAGTTTACCGAGTTGCTCGGAATGAGGAGGAAACGTGTGGGTCATAAATAATTCTTTTGGTTGCAATATGTCACAACCCTCAGCATGTAATTCTTCAAAATCGCTCTAGATAACGCCGGCTATATATTGTGTCCACGAGCTACCCGAGCTACACGTGCTCGATCGTTATGTGCGGTCTCTTAAACTTTAATATAAACGCTTCGATGCTTTGAATGTAATTTATACGATATCCATTGTTCATAAACAAGTCCAAGATAATATTTACGCAGAGCAAACAAGACGGTGACGACAAACAATTTATTTTTCAACACGATTTTAAACACGATCTAAACATTCACTAGAGTTTTAAACGGTTCTTTTTTTTCATACAGTTGCTGCGAGAAAGTTTATCGTTTTCAAGTCTTTTATTTCATTGTTATTAATCGGATAAGTTCAATGGCCAGTTATACTGAAAACACGGAAATAAAAATACATTAGACTATTCTGACGGAACTGAGAAGGAAGTCTAGCTCAGTTAAACAGCTGACCCTCAAGAGAGCGACGTGATGTGCACGGCACACCAACGCGGCGTGCAATTATGCACCGGCCGACCGTGCATCGCGCGCGCACTTGCACGCATGTTGTGGACCTATTACGCAAGATTATAGAAAGCCCCCGGTGCATGTGAAAGTGTTCGCGCTATCGTCTGCATTCCGGCAGAATGCGGGCCTCGACGGATGCAAATCATGTCTCGGAGTGAGTTCGGGACCAATCGATTGCATTCAAAGTGAAAAACCGTCGGATGGACAGCTGTATTAACGATACACACACAGCAATCCCGTTTGTCCGACATAAAATTTCTCTAAAGTAGCACTAATCAATCGATCGCAAGATCATTAAAAGGTAAATTGAGTTTTCGTTGTTCTTAATTTATTACAATATATGCAAATATATCGCGCACATAGGCGTAGTCTCCACGAATATTGTAACCTTGCGATAAGCGCGTTACTTTCAACACGTTGTCAACGTGTCACGCACGCAATTGCGACAGTAGTAAATATTCTCACGATTCCCCACCGCGAAGTGATAAACGAGGGTATCAGAAAGGGAGCGAGGAAACGAGAGCAAATCTGATGTGACACAAAACGAAAGCGTTGCCGATATAAAGTGAACGCCAGACCGGATGTGTGATAGCGAGTTAAGTAAGCTGAACTGACTCACCATAACCGATGCAGCAGCCATCATGATCTGAAACAAAATATAAAAGACGAAATTACTAACAAGTTACAAAAGAAAATTATTCTCTTCATTTAATATAGTAGACAAAAGTTTCAATGACTATTGAAGATATTGCGATATAAATATTCCATTGCGCGTTTAACATTTTACTCAAAGAAGTTTCTCTAGCGGATGAAAGTTACAAACGCCGATGGTAGCCAATAGGATTAAATCAGAACAGCGAAAATGCGAGGTAAGACGAAGGCCAAGAGAAAAAAAGAAAGAAATGAAGAAGAAGAAGTAGAAGGCGAAAAAAGGTCGCAACAAAAATTCGTTTGTGAAACTTTTGTTTCTCTGCTTCGCGTTCAGGATCGCCTCTACTTCTTTCTCTTTGTCGAAATTCGCGCGTAGTAGCGTGTTAAAATAGGTCGAATCTAAAGAAAAAAAAGAGGGAAGAAAAAAAGAATGCCTGTTGCCATTCTACTTTGCGCGGATAGCCGCATTTAAGCTGAGCACAAATGTGCTGCGGGGAAAAGAAAGAAATCCGCAAGAGCCTCCTCCCGTACACTCGAGGTGTTCCGACAAGAATAATAATTTAAAGCCGACAAGGAGATATAAAGCGGAAGTTCCTTCGGCCGTTAGCCCCGAAAATAAGTGCAATGCGCGGTCCGAAACTGCGAAATTCATTGTCCGAATCCGCTTTACTCGCCAACTCCCGTCCGCAATATTTTATAGTAGTCGATGAAACAAAAATATACAAAATTCGGATGTTCTATAAAATAACTTATTTTTATTTCACGCAATAAGATACGTGCATTAAATATAAATGTAAATAAAAATTCAGAGAAGATAACATAGAAACTTTTTACTGTTTGAATTTTCAGAGTATTCATAATTTCACGCTATGTGCGATAACATATCAATTAAAATTGTTTGAAAAGCAATTCTTGATAATGTACGTCAATCAATTTGACTAAAAATCGATTCATAAATGTCTATAAATTTGTAAAATATGAGCGCGTTATTAAATTCTCGTATAATTACTCTGCAGCATGTCTATCAATTATAAATCTCAATTGTGCGTTAATCTTCAACGTAAAAATTCGATAACACGTCCAACACAGTTCCGTAATGAAGCACGGAGGTGTCAATTTTTCATCGCGAAACTGTTGAACTCGTCATGATTAATCGAATCAATGAGAACTTTGCTCGGGCTCATCATAATTTAGGATTGCATGCAAATTATAATTGCGGATTACATTGAGTTAAAAAAACTTTTTGTAACAATATTAAAAGATATGCATTTTAACATTGTTATACAGGAAGGTTTTTTTGTAAGGAACTAGGCAAAAATATATTTCGTCTAACAATAAGAGTGTAGATCTTTTAAAGTATCACGTGCAAACTTCCCCCTTTCTCTTCCATTCTCTCTCGCGCCTCAATTCACCGTATATTTAATAATGAATAGACGGTGGGAACGCATATGTACCTCTCGTCGTAATTAAGACAGAGGATTATTAATTCCTGAAAAGATTAAATTGGGAAGCGACCGCGGAAAATCGCACCGAGTAGTTTTCCGAATTTAATTTCCCGGAACATTAAGCTCTTCGGCTCCGGCGACTATATAGTACGAACTGTCCAACTGGAAATTGAAAAAGTTCACGGGCTATATATGTACAGCGTACTCTCGATGATATTTGATTATTAAATCGCGCGGATTTGTAATGACCTTCTCTCTCTAGTACTTGAAATTTTCTAACGCCGATGCGTCATGCGACCTGCGAATTGATTTGCAAAATTTCCGGCCGCGTGGCACGTAAGCACTAACACCGTATAAGCGCATCCCTCTACAGTACAATGCATGCACGCTGAATGCCGAAGTTAGTATTGTTAGCGGCGAACAAAAGCGATACGTGACTATAGAACACCTTGCCTATAGAATACCATCTTCAGTTTATGAGCCTGGTGTAAAACCGCGACTAAACACATCTCTAAAGACAGCGAGTTTCTACCGTCGCCGGTCCATTTAATCTTTTAGGCCACTCGCGCTATTCAATAATACGTGTTAACTTTATCGGCAGTATGTTTGGCTTTGCGATAACTCCGTTAACGCGAAAGAGTTTTCAAGCAATCAAGAAAGAAAATAAGATACATTTTTGTTTCCTATACAATCGCGCACGGTTTCGCAATTACTTCTCACGCTATAGGCAGCAAAAGATAAAGATAAAATATATATTATTATACATAAACTCTTGACACGCCTCGTTATCGCTTTTTCCTCATAGATTTACTCACGATAAATACTATCATTTCAGAGCCATCGGCGGCACGATATTGATGCTGATGATCTGCGCGACCGTGTACGAATACAGATCGTTTCCTCTCACGAGCGACATCGAGTCTTCGAGCGTGTCGAATAACAATGACAAAACCAATGATTTTATAGATAAAAATCTGAATCAAGACCGCAATGTGGGGCAGGAAAACGATCAGGAGCTGATCGAAAAAGGGACGAAGCAAAAAGAGATTCCCATTCAAAAGAAGAATTGCAGCAAAGGTTAATGACGTATATATAGTATCTTTGTCGCTTTCTTGCATCCTTGACATTCTTCAATGCAATCTTTGTCGTGACTTTTTCAGGATTCTGGTTGAAATTTTTACTCGCGTTCAGCCCTGCCGTCAACGGAAGTAGGATCATTAGCACCGAGCCTGCGGCCAAAGATAGTCTGACTTGTCTCCACGGTCTTCGCGTGTTCTCCTTGGGATGGGTTATCATGGTGCACACGTACATTCAGGTCTTCTCTATCGCCGGTAATTCTGTGAGAATTGCAAAAAACCACTTCCCGAAATGAATGAACGTGTGGCAGAAAGCGTGGAAGTGTGAAAACGAGAAGCGGACAGGATAATAACGTGGATAATTGCGTTCTCATTAACAACGCTTCAAACTTGAAACTAATTTTACCGATCTACTTTCTATAAGTAGCTTTTGATGCAACCGATAGGCATTATGATGTAATGAGATGTGTATCGGGTTTCTCGATCGGTGATAATTGAAGCTCTTTTCCCCGCTTTATATATGTGTATATACTTTCACCGACAATTTCGCGATTAAGTGTTTCCTCATTACGCTTTTGCAGAGAACAAGACATTGCGAACGGTCACAGAAAGGAATTTCATGTTCCAGACCATCAGTAACGCGACATTTTCCGTGGATACTTTCTTCTTTATTAGGTAACAAACAATGCACCAGTGAACATTTATCGCGATAAAAACGGAAATCAATTCATGACAATATTGTTGACAGTGGCCTGTTGGTGACTATACTGTTCTATCGATCCTTGGGAAATCTTAATATCGAAAAGGGCAATTTTTTCAAGACAAGCTTTAACAAATTTGTTGTCATGATCTTATATCGATTCGTCAGGTATGTTCCAAGTATTATATAATTCCTCGCGTTGAAAAAAATTTTTTCTTTCGAGGCGAGGTAATTCAATTGAGATGAGTTATGAATATACTTTCTTATTTCTGTCTTGTATTTCACGAAGACTGACACCGGCTTACCTCTTTGTGCTGGGGATGAACGAGATCGCTATAAAACAAGCTCAAGCGAAGACAGTCTTTTCGCCTGTTATTATCGATCACCTGACCTGCGAAAAGTTCTGGTGGCGAAATGCGCTATATTTGAACTCGCTGTATCCGCGCACGGAAATGGTAAGATGATTTATGTTCTGCTTATCCTAATGTGCTTTCTTTTTTCTCGTTACTGTGTACCTCGCGAAGCAAAGCTTTCAACGAAATACGAAACTTCTTACATGCATTTTGTAACAGTGTTATTTTGTAACAGCGTCCGCTCGGAATATCTATATGTACATATATGTATACCTTTAAAAAATTAAAAAAATAATTGATCTCAAAGGAAAGGCATTACCGAAAAATACATAACGAATTTAAGAAACAAGATTGAGAAATTATCTTAATGCTGCTTTCGAAATAACGATGCCTTAAGGACTTGACGATACAATAAATATGGGGTAACGAAGAATATTGCATAATACGCGATTATGTAAAAAACGAGTTAACAACATACTTTCGATGAACGATAGGTAGGAAACCCGTAAGGATCGGTTTTTGCATCAAAGCGATATTTAATACGTCGCCTTTCCCGCGCGTAAATTTTCCTCCGCGCGTCCTAGTTCTCTCACTTTCGCAATCCCGTCGCGATGCAATCTGCCTGGCAATTGATTCGCATCTATTACATTAATAACTTTCTAGTGCATGATGTGGAGCTGGTATATGGCAAACGACACGCAGTTCTACGTCCTTGGGATATTTCTTCTTTTGCTCTCCGTGAAATATTTCAAGACCGCGGTCGCTATCGTTTCGCTGTTGATCGTCTCTTCGTGGTTCACTACGTTCTCGGTAGCCTACAGCAACGATTACATAGCCAGGTAATATTTCGGTCTCCCCGATCGATATTAGACGTATATTAGATCATCCTTCATACATTTCGCGCTTTCCCAAAGATCTATCATGGTTAACGATATACTTGTAACAAGTTAACTGATTGAGATTAATGACACTTATTAATTTACTAGATAATCATTAATATTAGCACATGACTAATTGACAAGATAATTTTTAAAAAAGATATTTCTCTAAAAAATAAGATGAAGAAATAAGATTTCTTCGTAAGATGAAAATTATTAATTACACGCTCATAAAAGTATCTTGTTGGTCTAAGAGTAAATTTATTATTTAAGATATCGAGTCTACGAGTGAAATCGTTCAATCAAAATCGTGAGGGTATAACTATCGTGCAGAATTCATAGAGAATCTTAATTATATCAACGAGAGAAACAATTTCTAAGTAACAAAGGCCTTTCACGGCTATTCAATGAAATACAACAATTGGAATACAGCCTCTTGCGACGTCTGTATGACTTGCTCTCCCATCGAATGAAGTACTTCGGTCTTTTTATTCGGAACTGGGTGAATACGGCGGAGGAACAATGCAATAAGCCGGGTATCTGTCGAAGCATCGCCTGTAATTGGAAGCAGGCTTTCATTTCAGACAGCTTCGTGGCGCGCGTGTCTATTATAGCGCGCTATCGACATTGTACTTTGCATTATTCGCCCCCTTCCCCAACCGATGCGGCAATTTCACCGCGCGCGATATTGCGTACACGCTTAATTCCTTTATCGACTCTTCATGCAGGATTCAAGAGCCGTTTGCTCTATTCGACGAACTTTACGATAAACCCTGGCTGAGAGCGGGCCCGTATTTCATCGGCACGATCAGCGGTTATATCCTCTTCAAAACTAAGTGCCAGCTAAAGCTACCGATGGTGAGCATTTCGAAATACTGTTTCCAGCTATCGAGTTAATCATTCAGTCAATCAGTCAGCAATATTCGCGTTCGCCTCGACTCGCCTCGCCTCGCCGCGCGATAATGACGCGATAATGCGGATTTACCGTACAGTTGCAAAATTCGTGTACCTAATACGCACGACAAAAGATGCGAACAATAGAATGGTTAAAAATAATTGTGCAGGATAACGATAAGTATCTTAATACGAGAATAATTTACATTGCAACTATCTAAGTACCCTAAACGACGAGAATTGCTAAATAAACGCGATGGTTATTCATCCACACGCACGCTCGCTTTTTTACCGTAAAATTCTTTCGGTAAACCTAACTGAATCTCAATTCTACAGGGTGTGGAATTGATCGGCTGGATACTGTCCGCAGCCATCATGTTCTCGGTGGTGTACGGACTGTATCCCGGAAATTTGACGGTGATGGTGAGCTCCGTATATGCTGCCTTGGGACACACCGCATGGGCGATGGCCGTGGCTTTTATCGTGATCCAATGCTGCACAGGGTCGGCACGAATGATCGACAGTTTGCTTTCGCTTAGGCTAATGTATCCTCTCACGAGACTCACATACTGCGCCTACCTCGTGCATCCTGTTATCATGATGGTCACAACTACAGCGATGGACGGACCGCTGCATCTCCACAATGGGATTGTGGTAAGATAAAAGGAATATTCCCTGAATATGAATTCATATTGCTACATGATAGTGATTACGTAAGACGATCTGCCTTACCGTAATGTCCATACCATATACTGTTTCTATACGGACAAATAAATAACATGAAATAAAAATCTTTTTTTATACGCGATATTTTCATGACAGATTTTGAAAAAAAAAATTGGAAAATAATTCTCGTATTTTTTATCGCTTTATAAATTGAAGGCTTTTAATTACCTCGTGACATTAAATGTATCTCAACACGTGCGATGATGATTATTAGATATAAATAAATTCAATAGATACCGCTTTTGAAAATATTACATAAAATATAAACTTGCAAAATAAAAGTCACATATAAAATGTTTTATATGTGACTTGATAATAATACAAGAATATTTCTGTTTTTAAAAGAATAGAATATTATTTTGCCTTTTCGATTTATCTTCTTATACAGGAAATCATTCTTTTTTCGATTATGCTTATAACGGATCAGTCTATACAGTGTAACAAATATTATCTTTCTACACATCTTTAGAACTTCTAAAATCTCATATAAAATAAATTGTGTAAAATATTTTACATAGTTCTAATTCTTAATATAATTGTGTTAAGGCTATGCATGTTTCTTTCGCAGCTTATCCTGTACTTCGGCAACCTAGTAGCCTCGTACCTACTGTCGTTCTGCATTTCTCTCGCCTTCGAAGCACCGGTGGTAACTTTGTTGAAAATTGCATTCACCTCGAAGAAGAGAGCGAGGTAGAATGCGATCGTTCGCCAGATAGAAGGATAAATACGATTATCCAGTGTAGTAAGTATGTAGAAATTATAGACGTGAGTTATCAGATAGATAATGATTGTAAGTTGCAACTACGCATTCGTCGCTTATCGCGCGTTAGCCGCATAATTTATACATAATTTAAGCATATTAATAGATAATATTTATCAATATATTAATATTTTTTACAGATAACGATTACTTCAAATCTCAAAACAGAGATGAAAATCACTGAACACTTTTCCAGGACGGAAAAGTTCATCTTTATTTCTGAGTATAGACCGCTGACATTTGATAATTCTTGATAATAATGTAAACATTACGTGATAATTTATGTGATGCAATAAGCCTTAATTCCTTGATGTTAAAATTCCTTTTAACATCAATAGCAAGATAAAAAAAAGTTAAATTCCTTATAAATCAATTTAATATTAACAAAAGGTAAAGGGAGATAAAACGTCAAAAAGATTGATAGAAAACGGCAATTAATTATTCTGGAAATAAAATATTGCAAATGTAAAAATTCATTAAAAATTAAAACCAGCTGATGTAAATACAAAGCTCTGACAACTTTTGTCGAGTCGAGAAATTCTGAATTTCGGGGACAGTTTTATTTGCGATTCTCGCAGAGAGAGGCAACAGTAAAGTTGAAATGAAATACATGCGAATCTCATATTTCTTCCTACTTTAACACGTATTTAACAATTACGTATAAACAACATGACCTGTTAGTGCAATAATCCTTTATTTACATAATGAGTAGGAAAATGTTCCCCATGTCCAAGAAAGCGTAAATCGCTAGCAATGCAATATAAAGTCACGTAGCGTGTTAAGAGACTTTTTTCGCGTCGTACATAGTTGCGAATTTATCATGTCGCGTGTGAATGAAAAAAAAATCTATGATAGCAGCCGTAAATATATAATACAGCCGTATAAACAATAATAAAAAAACGTTTAAGCATGCAATACATATTGGGTATATTATAATATCAATCATTAATATAATTTTTAGTGTAAAAAATTAAAAAAAAAGCAAACTACGCGCATAGCAACGTTAAAATTTTGCAGTATTTTTATCGCACATTTGGCAGCTCAATGTCAAGTGATATAATAAATTCAGTCGTGTAAAATTCAGTCAGCGTAAAGAAATAGGAAAAAAGAATGTGTGACGCGTTTATTTTAGAATTTATGCGTGCCACGCGGGATATCCGATGTTCAATAACAAAAAAAAAAGCGAAAAGTATGTTGTATAGTACAAAATGGATAGAAAAAAATAGAAATAAATGGAAAAAATACATTATTTTGCGTACATTAATAAATAAAAATTTTTAGGAGACAGCAATTTACGATAAATGACAATGTATATATACATATATATATTTAATTATCTTCCTCATTTTATAATCTTACATATTTCGCCTTGCTCTATCATATAATATACTAAATTTGTTATTGGAAATGATACAAAAGCCATTTAATATACCATTGCAAACGATATTAAACTTATTTAAGGTGAATTACTTTTCAAAGTCTTTGTGATGAAAATCAATTTGCCACTATTCTGTATTGTCAAATTGAAATAAGTCTCGGTTTCCTTATCATTGACTTCCTATCGCATCTAGTCGCACAAAGGCTTTCCTCTCCTGCTTTTAGCAACCATAAAGCGGTGCGTGACGTGAAAGGAAGCGCATGTCGCAAATTGATTTTCGATGCTCAGGAGGCATCTCTGGACGGTGCGTTTGAACGCGTTATCTGCCTGCTGCAGACGCGAAAACAATTTCAAGTTCTTTCAAGGATGCGATTATTTATCGTCGTAACAAGATAACAGATGGCTAATAATTGTAAATGATATCCTAATGAGGCTTAGCTTGCCACATTTTTTTGCAGCATTTAATTTCGTTTTTTCAATTTGTTAAAAATCACGATTCTTGATTAACAATTTTTTTACTTAATATCACCGAGACATTTTATATTTAATTCCGTTCCTAGAATTTCAAATTAATTTTAATAAATGGGTGATTATATTTAGAATATATCATATTTAGAGCTGTATAGATTGATAGATTCGTTAATGTTGTTAATGTAATTAATTCCGCTTGATTATTGGATAAAGTTTTTGTCCGTGTTTCGTCCGTGCGATATTGCGTGAGCATGAAGGAACGTTCAATGTCTATATCTGATATTTCCGCACGGTAAGCACATTTCCAGTTTCATCTCTATAGCTTATTTTGTACATGTCACGTTTATTCATCGTGCGAACAGAGCGGAGAAAGAATAGAAATAATATGAATATAAATGTTTGTAGAACGTTTACGTTTAGCGTTATACGTGATGTGTACTGCGAGCAAATATTGAAAAATTCACGGCACTCTTGTAACCGGAAATTGCCAAGCATACATTTCCGCGGAACTATATAATACAACAATGAGATGTTTTTAATTTCAACATTAGAATACGCGCTGCAGTGAAAAAATATCAACATCTAGATTCTTTCTTCAAACTTTTTTTATAAATTGTAAAATAGAAAGCTGAAAATTCGTGATATTGTAAGAGATCAGCCGGTGAAATTCTTTATTAACAGGTTAGCGAAACGTGCGTATGCATATGTAAAATAAACTGCGGCACAAGATAAAAATGTAAGGTATTAAAATTTAATATCGCGTATAGATATAAAATTAACTCCTAATTAAGATGGTGTGTACGAGATTAGCGACGATTTTTCACTGAATTTCATGACGATGTTTAACATACGGAGTTTTATTTGAGATAAACGTAGCAGATTAATTAAAGTGTCGCTATTTATGCCTATTAAAGAGCTAACTGTAGCATTTAAACGCTGAGCAAAACGCCTTCCGCTGACGACTACAGTTTCGCAGAGTGATAAATCTTTAGCCAACCAAAGCCTGTGTAGTATCCACCATCTGGCGTCCGACACGAACACGCACACGAGAGAAAATTGCTGGAAGGAATTAAAGTCGCTCTTAAGATCGATACCCACCCTATTTTAGCAAACGGCCCTATATTACTATTTTTATCCATTAATACGTACATCCATTCATAATTTCGATATATAGGGTGCGATCGAAATCATGATATAAACGGAAAAAAGAGATTGTACAAAAATAATTTTTAACTACAGAATAAAACTTTCTTCTTCACGCAAAGTTTTACTTCACATGGAGAAAATTCATGAAGTTAAAAAAGTAATAATGCCTTCTTTTTTCGTGAACGCGGATAATTTCTTAGCACCTGCACTAGTTGTCAAATTTATTACAAATATATTCATTAAAATATGTATAAATACAAGAAATACAAAAGATTTCTTTTAGAGAAAAGTAGATACGTTTAACATTTCATACTTCGGTCGCAACATGCATAATTCCTTAGGAATGTGCACACCGCAAGTAAAATATTTATACCCGCCTGGCGTCACTTGCTACTTTGGTATAAGTGTAAAGCTGTATTAAATTTTCCTAGACCGCACATAACGGGCATACAAATTCGAAAATCGTTCATCCGTTTGTTTGCCGTGATTTTGCGGTTGCAGAATTGTAGCAGTCTCTATATGCATTACCGCAATGACATTGCCCATGCACGCATGTATGCGAGAGAGAGAGAGAGAGAGAGAGAGAGAGAGAGAGAGAGAGAGAGAGAGAGAGAGAGAGAGAGAGAGAGAGAGAACACCGAAGTTGGTTACGGATGTGCTTTCATAGCACATGGATACTGTCAAATTAAATCCACAACATAACTGAGTAAAGACACGTGCACGACAACGCGACCACAGACTCGACATCTCATTAAGAAAATCGATATCACTTTAATTATCATACACAAGTGTCGGAGACGAGCATTGAACGTAAATGCAGCTATTAAATAAACGTAACGAAACAAACGTCCGATCAAAATTAAACTGAAAGTTCAATTAAAAATCATTTGTATTTCCGTACGTATCCGTATTATACATTTTCAATACATCACAAATTCTAGTTGCAATTAATATCTGACAACATTTTAATTAAATAATGGAAGTCATGACGAAAAATATAGGCACTTTGTTAGTTTATTTCTTTAACGACAACAAATTTTTCACAATACATTATCCATGCTTTGTTCTATGCAAGAGAAAACAAATCTATTAATCTATTGATAATATATGATATATGTAGTTGCAATATATGTATTTATTTAATCTTCTTTCGAAATTTCGACGTTCTTTACGATCGATTTAATCAAAACACGTAGGATTCGAAAGTTCGATTTCCTGAACCGAAACGTGAAATGCGGAAATTCATTTGAGTAGACCACAAAATGCATTCAGGCACATAAAAGCCATTGCACTGCAAACAAATTCTGTACATAAAAGCTCTATATATAAGCGATATGTAATATGCAATTTGCTATTTAAGCGCACTATAGTTTCAATTAAATTATGCATGATTATCGTTATAGCATCATGCTTTGTTAAGAAAATATGCCATACGCATCCATATTTATATATTTTATATTTGTAATTTAGAAATATCAAAGGTTTATCAAAAATACGATGCAATATTGTAGTACGTGATTAATTAAATTCTTTACAAAATAAAACGGAAAAGCGCGGTACTTTGTTTCATTTCGTAATCGAAATGCACATGCACTTGTACGTGCCGCTCGCACACACAGATTCACGCTTATGAGCTTTGCGCATTCACTTTGATGAGTGTGTCCGCCTGCATTCTTAACCGAGCTTAACGTAACCTACTTCCGGCCGGTACAACTTCTTGTAATTAGCACACTGCATCTCATGCGTTTTCGACGACGTTACACCTCTTTAAGGAGAAATTTCCGCGTAAGTAAATTTCTCTCATTAATACTACTGGTATCTGAGAACCTCGTTTCTCTATATAACATAAAATTTCGTCCGGCATGTAATCTGTTACAAAATTCCACGAAAATGTAATAGGATTCTGTATTTTCAGTTCTTCTCCACTTCTCATATGGGCTGAGAATATTTGCGTGCGATATCTAAATTTATCATAAAATCGACCGATCGAATCTTTTTTCCCCGAGGTTACAGAAAAATTGTTCTTCCAATAAAAATGAGAGAATACCGGAGGAATCCTTGGGGATTTACAGATTCATGAAACGCGGCTTGATTAATTATCATCCCCGTAGGGCGTGTTCATCGAATTCTACAAAATTTGAAAGCGAAATCTCCCACGGATTTATTTGTGACTGATGGGATTTTGGATAGCTTTAACAGAATTAATATGCAAGACCATCAATCTCTCTATATATATCATGTTTGTCTTTGGATTTGTCTGTCGCGCTGTCATGAGATTAAAATTTTTATTAATATAGCGTAATTTTAGGTATATTATACATATCCCAGATTACTTTCACAGACATGTTACACATAAATATAAATATGTCACAAAAAACAATCTATTTTTAACAAAATGAACAGAAAAAAAGAGCATAAATCTGAGATGTTTTTAAACTTTAAATTATCGTCTTTATAAATGTAATTATTAATTAGTTTTCAAAACATCTATTTCTCTTATTGAAACCTCAAAATCTAATTTAGCGTATTCCAAAATGTATATGTGTTATAAAGATATATGAAGAAATAACGACGAACAGAGAAGTTTAAAGCATTTGTGGTTATCACAAACCATTCGCAGAACCAACTTTTGCAAGTACATTTTTTTTACGAATAAATCAACTGCCGTATATTCGAACTACCGGTTCTGTAATTTTTCTAGGCTTTCTACCAAAATCTTGTCTTATATATCTACGATGGCACATGCGCGGACGAGGCGCGGGAGGTAGAGCCTCGTTTTCGGTCAGTCGGCCGAGAGCCGTCGTGCAACTCGAGTTGTATGCGAATTTCGGTGCCCGCGACACACGCACGAGGTTTCGGAAACCCTCGAAAACTGATAGAAATCGCGTGCGATTTACGTAAAAAAAAAAACGTAATACTTCCGTGCTGTAAAAAAAAAAATGCATCGATCACTATAAAATTGATGACAAAACGTAAAACTGACAGGCAGATCTTTTCTGCCAGACTGGTTGAAATATGGAAATTTCGGGTAAACTGGCGGAATAATATCTCAAATTTTTACACGTGAAAAATTAGCATGTGAAAATGAGGCGTCGTACACAGCCATGATTAATCGCAACCTAAACCGAGAAAAAGCCCGACTCTGAAAGTTCAGTCGTGCGTAGGAATTTAAAGAAAACGCAAACGTGACTCGACTGATAGGCGAGACCGACGAACTTGAGGTTTACTAGTGAATTTCCGGGAATACGCTGCTATGTTGGTGACAGAGAAAAATCGATCTTTAACCATTTCCAACTCCGACTTGTATCGGATAGAAAATATATGTCTTTAAAACACAATTAAATAATATACTTAATGAAAGTGTAATCAACGGAGATATTTTGAATATTATGTGTATCGTTAAGAAAAATCAATGACTCTGGTTCACCGGTTAAATAATTTGCAAAAAGTATTCCAATAAGGAATAATTTTCGAAGGTCAAGCAACTTTTTTTACTCGAAATTGAAATTTAAATTTTGTCGATTACATTTAGAAAGAGTGCGGACGTCGAACGATCAAAAATTCTATAGAGAACGTCTCTAAATTTTATATCAAAGTACTGCAGCACATTTATTTAGGATGCTGACGTATAAAGCATGACGCATCAAACTGCCGAATATGCTCGGTGAAGAATTGCTCGGAAGGGACACGCTGTCAGTTTCGCGGAAGTTAGTATGCACGAGGGTTAATGTTCCTGTCTCTCCAACTAAAACGAGGAGAATACACGAAGTTAGCCAAGCATGAACAAGGGAAGATCCGGTGCGACGACCAGCCGGAAAATTTTCATAGAGCTCACGTCGCAAGGATTTCGCGTCCAATAAATTCCTAGGTATGTTAATTGCGGTCTGCTAATTGATATTAGCTATAGAATTGTAATGCCTCTGGTATCTGTCTAGGATATATTTTACATACGCGAGACACGTGGCATACATATGGATATGATGGGATGTAAAATAACCGACCATTAATTGACGTTGCGGCAATGTCAACGTTAATATTAATTATAGAAATTAATATTATATGTTTACAATTGTACATATATAATTTACCATTATTCAAAAACACAGTTCATCATCAATAATATCTATAGTTATGCATATTATTCATTTGTAAGAGATATTCATTTCATTTCGAGTTATGCGCATTATTAATTTGTAATTGTAAAGAGATAATATTAATATCAGCCAATAACATTAATATCTGAAAATTAAAACCAAATATAAAATGTAATTTTGCGATTTTACAAAACAGAAGAGTGAAAGAGTTGTATTTTTAAAACGGCGGAAAGGGAGGGCGTAATTGTACTTTAAATTTTAATTCATAAAATATGGGTCATATTTCATTCGTATTAAAGTAAATCGATAAAATATTAATTAATCTTCCTTTTTCAATAAGCTTACAACTCTAAGAGCTTACAATGAATTATTCGCGTTTGTGTACACGCTGCAGCGTTTTCACGTGACTTCACGTGTTTAACTCGTTATCCAAAAACTCCACTCAATTGTGCGAGTTTCTGTTCACATTTCACAGTATGACGTATCGACTTTCGATACCCGCACCCATTGCTGATTCACAATTGCGAATAGTTCCGACGGGGACTCACTCCTTGCAGCATTATCCCACGCGTCACACGCTATGACGCTTAATAAGCAAGATATAGACGCTGGATCGTTTCCAGAGTGAAAAATTGCTCTTTCATTCTAAAATATTGCTTCTGTCCCGTTAAAAATCGTAATGTTTTCCTCGAAGATGCATTCGTCAATTTTATTTCCCTAATATATTCCCAAGAACATCTAACGTGAAAATGTCCAGTCAACGTAACGCAAATATCGCTGATTATAACACGTGCGAATAATATATTAAGTGTATCGTATAAACAAAGATATTATATTTAATATAAATCGCAAAGTCTTTTATCTGCACTCTGTTGGATTGCATTTGATGCTCTTTGCGAGAAGGATTGCCCATTACCTGATGTCGTTATAATGATACCATTACGTTTAATTAAAGCAGCTAATTCCAGCAAAGTAACGCTGAGTGCAACACTTCTTACATTTTTTATGATCTGTTACGAGATATCGAAATCGTTTAATGGCGATATTTATCAAAGGCTGGCAGGCAGCAGGAAAAAGTTCTATCTAGCAGGTGAATTTCTCTTCGAAAAATTGAGTCTAATCATGAGGGTCACCCTCGCAATGAAAATTAAGTAGTGGTCCGACAGACTGACATGTCGATGGATGACATTCAATTTAGATACTTTGCAACGCGCGATTGACTCGTCGCACGAACGATTCGTATCGGCAACAAAAATTCGACAGGAGAGCTCCGGTTAAATGAAAACAGAATAGATTTAAAGAATCAAAGCAAGCAAAAAAGATGAAAAACGTGAAAAAATAATCGGCCTTCTTTCTTTCTTGTTTCAACTTCAATATACTACTGCGATGCCGAGAGATATATTTTAGCGCAATGTTTCGCTAAAATATGAGTTCATGAGCTCAGGATATCACTTTACGTGATAATAAACAAAAATAATAATAAATTTATAACGTACGTAAACGTTGGGATTATTCGATTTTTATGAACTATAACGTAATTAAACAATCGTTAATATTATACATTTTAGCTAAATTCGTAATTCAAGGTACACACGAATGTATGTATTTCCGAGCATGGAAATTAGCTCAACAGCCTAATTTAGATGCCCGGACATATCTACCTTTGTCTAAACATCACATATCCTGATAAATAATACATGCGAATTACGCGATAACGCGAGTATAATTTATGTCTATTTGTTGGAAGCAACGTACCAAGGATCTGAGTCATATTTTATACACAAATTATCTTGCTTACATTTAACTAGCAATTTACATACAACTACTTAAAAAAAAACACATCCTATTTTTCGTCATTTAATAACAAAAAGTAAAGAAACAAAACGCAAAAAATAATTTAAAAAAAGGTTTTTAACTGTTGATATTTAAAAAAGATAAATTGAATTTTGACTGCGACACAAACCTCCTCTTGATACACAGAACAGCAATTGGCTTGATTGCAAGGCAATTTTTTTGCTTTCAGGCCGCACTGTCGAAACTTTCGTAGAAAAGCAAAACGTGTTACCCGGATTCGTCCAAAAGGCATCGAATCAACGGAAGCCGGCAGTAGAATTGCCCATATTTGTTGAGGAGGAACGATACGATGGCTCACGGGTACGGTACTCTAAAGTTCAAGATTCAAGTTTCGTGTCTCGTTAACCTCGTGACCCTTTCGCGATCAATTTCAGATAAAATTTCATCCGTATAATAAAAATCGGAATAGCAGCAACTCACCCCCCAAAAAAACGAATACGGGACAGCACGATATTGCGACTGACATGAAAAACATAATATTCTAAAAACTTTTTCTAAAATCTTTATGTTAATGTCTCATATTAACATTAAAAAATCATATGCTTCCTTGGCAAACTTCCGTCGTCATTTAAAAAAACATTTCACATTGATGAAAACGAAAATGTTGACATGTAAACTTTGTTTACGATAAATAGAAAACTTCGTGCTTGGCAAGAAAGTTGGTAACGTAGAAATCAAAACATTCTTGAAAACTTAATAAAAAGGGCATAGCAACTTTAGATGCTTATATAAAATTATTCTTTACATCAATTTCGATGTATGAAGATAAAGACGCAATGTATGTTCATATGCAGCAATTCCTTTGTCATAATATTGAGCTTCTTAACAGTTTTATCTTACTACACGTTACTCTTTGTTCTAACGTTACTTTTACGGATCCCCGAGTAGTAAAACTTTTATTACGTTCGTGTACCATAATCCCACGTATCACTTCGTTTTCATTCTCTTGCAACATTCGTATTTTTCCAAGTGCACAACGGTAAAGCTATTTAAAATTTTCGTTTAAAAATAGACGTTATAATAATTAAATCTGTATCCATATTTGCAAATACATACGTGTACTAATTTATTCACCCTAGATTTTTCATTCTGAGTTACGTGAATATCCAGAGTCAATTATGACTTAATAAATATCTATGAGTTTATTGCAGTAAAAAAATGATACGCTAACAGTAGTTGCCATTATAACGCCTCGCATAAATTAGATATTCATGAGTAAACTGTGTTAAAATTTTTTGAAATAATTATGTGTACCACGCAGACCGTGATTCATCCTCTTCGTGATCGTCTTAGGGAAAAGTATTCCTGTTCATTAGCAAAACGAGCTCTCATCTGTGAAATAGTTCATTAATTTTCTTGTATATAATGAAGCCGCACAATTTCAGGTAAAGTAATCTACGAGAACTGCTTTATATACAAGTAGCACGATCTCACAACATACATGGATGCATATTTTACATATAGACACTAAAAATATATGATAAAATATTAAACATATTTAAAATTAAAAAATTTTAATATTTAATATGATTATATTTAAATATATAATCGCAAAATTCGGTGATAAAAAATCTGGGCAGTTTTAAATAAAAAATTTAATTGTTTCAAAACAGCTATCATATATTATAATAAGTAATTACGTCATTCATTCAAAGAAGGATCCTTTGAATTTAATTTTATTTCCGTTCGCGATAATATTGCTTGAAAATTCGCATTCGCAATTGCGCACATTCAACTGGCAATGAAGAGCATTTTCACTGAAAATTTTCCTTTTATGGCGCATTTTACGGGACCATCTCTTAGGTAAATCCCTCGGCCCATTTTACGTCATGGATCAAACTTTTAAACGGAATTCTCTCGGTAGAATAGATAAGGCGATTGTTTTGTGCAAATTACAATGTAACCCTTTCGAGAGACTTATACGGAAGCGGGCGCAAAATTACCACGCACTTTCCGTGGTCGGCGATTGCCAAGGCGAGTCTAAAGTGCAAACGCAATGAAACGGCCCCCCTTTAACGTGCCAGCTGAGCAACCCTCAAGTTTGAACAACATCCAACAGTTCATCTACACCGCGGCACAGGTAAAAAGTTTAACAACTGTTACTTTTACCATCGCCGAGATACTCGCGAAGGTTCGTAAACATCAAAACACGCCTGAACAATCTTTTGTAACTCACAAGTTCTAAACTGGGAGGTGTGCTTGCACTGAGAGCACTGCACTCAACTAAAATATTATTTTCTAAACAACTTCAATTACCTCGATATTCTTATAGAGTAACATCTCTTGACGTAAGATCTTTATTATGCGTAAGGCTTTAATTCCATCCACAACCGATTTGTATAATTTCTCTTATAACACGCTTTTCATTTGTGAAAAAAATAAATATTTTCCTACGCTGCTGTCTAACGGAACTGATACGAGCTAGTCAGTAACCACGGGCAACAGAGAGTACTATGATATGCAATTATCCAGGTTACGCAATTATACGTACTCCTCCGGCAATATTCCGTACTCTAGAAAAGTTGAAACGTATCTCTGACCCAATCTTTAAAACTGCACGGTTCGTACGAATGGAAATGTTTTAATGCAGCCTAAAATCTTCCTACGGCACGCTACATCTCGCGAACTTTGGAAATAAATTCATATTATCGGCGTTATAAACTTCGAAACTTTTATGGGATTCATTATACAGATAATTCATCAGAGGTATTCTTCAGTTTTCAAACAGATAAAATTATATGTGAAACAATAGCTTTGATATGTATTTACTTTATAAAATTGTGTATTAGCGAAATAGATTTATACCTATATATTTTTTTTCCTGTACATCAAATATCAGACATAACAAACGCACTGTAAAATGTGCGTTAAACACGCGAGAAATTTGTGAACAAAATCGAATAAATATGGAAATAAAGTCATTGTAATACGACGATATTGCTTTTTCCATCGTAATTCTAAAAGGCCCCTTTTCAAAGCCAAAGCCAATACTGATCTCTTTATTCCTTTTTCTTCGCCTCTCTCTCTCTCTCTCTCTCTCTCTCTCTCATTCTCCGATGCACCTTTATCCTCTGACACGTCCGAAAAGTAGACCACTGAAGAGTCTTGTTCCGCTTCCCAGTTTCCAGTAACGACATGAAATTTACCAAGCAGAAAGGAGGGTGATATTCGCTTACGGAGCAATATCGAAGGTATTACAATATTTAAAGTAGGGAAGCAGAACAAGGATTCTCTCCCCTAAACACACGCTAATAGCGAATGTTGCACCTGCGACTCTCTTGCAAAACAAGCGCTGGAATCAATTGAGTTTCATATCATATCATTTTAAACACAGCGACTACAATTTTTCTTAAGCTAATGTAAATTTAATAATGTAAAGTATTCAAATTAATTAAAAAAAACTCATTTTACGATTTGACATTTCATTGCAAATAATCACAATTATACATTTATAGCATTTGAATGAAATTTCCTACTAATTGTCATAAAAATGCTTTGATAAAAATAATTTTGTATCAACGTGTATATTTCTTTTACAAACGTATCTTAGCGTCATTATAACGTTTCCTTTGTTTTGTGTTTAATATTAAAGACTTTATTATAAGGACTTTATTAAAATTTTGACTTTTTTTTACGGATTAGTGTCGGTCCACAATAAGGCTTTTAAGCCTTACACCGTAAGATATTGACTAATTACAATCAATTATTCTTCTTATATTCGACTGTGATTGGTCTATTTCTTACTGCTTAGAGCTTAAAATCCTTATTGTGGACCGACACTTATAGTGCCAAAAAGGAAAAATACGCGTCTTATTTGGGGACCCGGAGTATTCTCGGGCTCTGTCGGACAAAGGTATATTATAGCACCGACAGGTCAATCGAAATCACGGAAAGGGAAGCTCTTTGTCCCTCAAGTACACTTTCCCAGACATGCTATTTCCTTCGGTCGTCGTTGCTTCATCTCGATTTACATTAAGATTCGAAGTAATTTGTCCGACAATGAAACTGAACACCCATTCCTGCGCATCCTCACAAATTATGCCGGCCGTTTATTTAATTAATCATTCCTACGTAAATGTGTTCACTACTATATTGCAATCGTATTATTAAATTAAACACTCATTGAGCACTCAATGACCTTTTCAAATCAGTTTCGATAAATAAATCAATATTAAATATTTTACCTTCGTTTTAAACGCAACTCAGCATAACACAATATAATAATTAATTTTTGTTATTCGAGGAATTTTATAAAGATTCCAAATATATATACTTTGCTAATTATAATTCTATTTCGAATGTATTATTTGAAAACAATTTTATACGAAGCTTTATATTCGTCTCAATATAAAACTGTACGAGAATTAACTTGTACGTGCATAGAAACTTAAATTAAAAAAAAAAACCATAACATTATAATTTTTATTATAATACTCGTACAATTTCATGAGAAGCATAGTAATGAACCTTATTAATTAATCTAATTATAATGAACATGAATTATATAACATGACCGTGCAACATGATAGATTCATGCTTTAGATGTAGCTTTCACTATAAAGATATTTACGCGAAATAGTAACCTCGCTATTGTCGCATCAATTGACTAACAGCAACGTTACTGACGTAATAATACTCTATTGTGCTGCAGTCAATATCGTTTCGTAAACTAGCTCCACCAAGTACCGCTAGTAAATATAACGAATAATAGATAATATGCCAAGTCGGACGGCGATGTCGATGATGGCAGAAAAGAGAGCAGAGAAACGCGATGACCAAGTGCGACGTAGAAGAATCAGAAGCTCTCAGGCGAGAGAGATAGAAGTGATGAGGATCGGCGGGTTGCTGGGGACGACAAACGGATAAATGAAACTGTTCGTCGACTATTATGCGGCGGTTCGTTTCACGTCCCGCATGCAATGTCGCCTGTTCCGCTTTCGGTACCGCTTCTCCGTTTTGTATAGAGAGAAGAACCGTTCCGCGAGCAAAACTATTGTGTAGTCAATAAAGTAACAAAAAGGGTAGGTAACAACACGTTACGCACGAGTGGTTCGAATCAATTGTAACGTATTGTAAAATGTAATCATTTTGCGATCGAACCGATTTTTCGATAACGGATAAGATAAAAGAGATGTAGTTGAAATATGAAATTATTGTAAAATTATTTATAGTAAAGATAATAATAAAAATAATATATAATAATAATATAATAAAGTAAAATAATGGCAAAAACATAAACTGTTTGCCATGACTAATAAACATGTTGTACGAATTGACACAAAACCACATCATTGCTTTCC